TTTTTATTTTGAGGCAGGGTCTCACTAAGTTATTGAGAGTCTTGCTAAATTGCTGAGGCTGACCTTGAACTTGCAATCCTCCTGCCTCAGCCTTCGAATCACTGGGATTATAGGTGTTCACCACCACTCCCAGCATGAGACTTCTCATTGTGGTTGAGAAGTACCAATCTTCCAAACTTTAACTCAGAGCTATGTCACTTCCATGCTTGAGAATAAGCCTACCRTCATTGATATTACAGTATTATTAGAATCAGAGCACATGGAAGAACTACCATTTTGGGAGGAAGTCATCTCTATTTTGATAAGAGAGACTTTGCATTTTCTCTTTTAAATCAAAACTTGTGTTTTAGATGTGGTCAAAGGTGAAAAGGTCAAGCCAATATTTGAGGAACCACCCAATCCCACAAATGTGGAAGTCAGTCTGCAACAGATGAAAGCCAATGATCCCAGCCTACAAGAAGTCAACCTCAACAACATCAAGGTATTTCATTATCATTGTCATCAGCCACCTGATTTATCATGAGGTCAGAAAACTTATTGGAGATGACCGGTGGCCTGCTTTTAATACCCATTTACTGGCCTTTGTTATCACTGATTTTGAGGCAAGATATCCTATGCAAAAAAAGTGGATTTTAAAAAAAAGCAATTTCTAGAATTATTTGAAAAGAATCATAGTACTCAGTTAAACATAGTGCATTAGTTATATCTATTGCTGAATAACAAATTACTCTGAAACTCAAAGGCTTCAAACAACAAACATTTATTATTTCATACAGTTGTGTTTTCCCCCCAGTTGTGGGAATCAAACTCATGGTAGGCAAGTTCTACAGCACTGAGCTACATCTCAAGCTCCTATCTCACACAGATGTGAGGTCAAAAATGTGAGAATGACACAGAAGAGTAGTTGACTCAGGGTTTGAACTGAGGCTATAGTGAAACTCTTAGCCAGACTCCAATCTGAAGGCCTGATGATACAGAAGGATCCATTTCCAAGATAGCACACCCATGTGTTTTTTCCAGGAGGCCTCAATATCCTCATTAGGGCTGCCTGAGTGTCCTCACACCATGACCGCTGGCTTCCCCCCAAAAAGTGATCCAAGAATGAAAGAGCAAAGAGAAAGCCCTAATACCTTTTACAATCTGGTCTCTGAAGTCACAGATTGTCACTCCCACTTTATTCTATTTGGCAAAAAGTTATTCTGCTCTCAAAGGGAGGGGAAGGGATGTTATGTATCTAAACATTGCTTAAGATATTTGGCCAATTCCTGGCATTTAATAATAACAACACCTTTATTGAGTATTCACTACATGCCATATATCTTGCTAAATACTTGAAATTTATTATGTCATTTAATCCTCAGTGAGACCTAATGAGCTTAAGTTGCTAAGGTCGCACATCTACAGTGCAGYCAGGACTTGTTCACTGCTAGCTACACCTCATGTCACCTCCCTCCCCACTAGTCAGTACTGTGCTAAGTGCTGTATGAAAGAGTACAAAGATGAGTAAGATTTAGTCTTTACTTTGAAAAACTTATATTAATAGAAAGACGTGAAACAATTAAAACATGATGTGTTAAGCCCCCAATGTATGGAATTGTAAGGGAGGAAAATTTTAATGCTGCCTAGGAAAGCCAATAAACAAAAGAGGAGGTATTTCAGCTGGATTTTAAAAGATGAGTAGGATTTAATCAGAGAAAAAGACAAAAGGAATTTTCTGGCAAAAGGAAACCACATCTAAAGATATGGAGGAGAGACAGACCATGATATATTAAAAGATGGGCAAATAGGGCCATCTGCCTCAGCTATAGAGAACAAAAGAAATAATGACCAAGCATGGTATGTGTATAATTCCTTGGTTAGAGAAAAGAGAATGCCAGAATGCACTAGATTCCCTTATTGGACTCTTAAGTGGTGCTATGGGCTCAGGATAGCTGGTTGCCTAAGAATGGGACATGAACCCCTTTTCAAGGGGTTATCACATTATCTAGCTATCTAAACATACATGGTATTTAAAATAATAATAATGACAATTTAAGAAACATAAATGGTAKTTACAAGTTGTACGGGGTGCTAGTTCAGAGATAGAATATGTCCTTAGCACAAGGCCCTGATTCAATCTCTGCACCAAAACAAAAAAGAAGTTGTAGGACTTTAACTTGAGGGTAGTGTGTTGTAGAATGGTTTATCTATCAGCTAGCAATGTCTTCTCTGTTTTAGAACATTCCGATTCCAACCTTGAAGGAATTTGCAAAGGCTCTGGAGACCAACACTCATGTAAAGAAGTTCAGCCTGGCTGCAACCCGCAGCAATGACCCTGTGGCCATTGTGAGTAAAATTCTTAGAAATATAACATGAATTTTTAATTCACTTGAAACTTTTTAATTGGTTTTTAATTAATAAACAATGTTTAGATATGGTAAATTTAAATTGTGCAGAGTTAGTAAGTGGAATTAAAGTTAAATGAGGGTAAAACTTCACAATCCAACCGTGAAGCAGTTTGAATTAACATTAAAATCTCATTGGTTTTACTCAAGAAACAAAGTAAGTTTGGCATTTAGCTAAATAAATTTTTAGGGTTTGTTCTGTACTTAGTACAAATTTTCTGAAACTTTTTCTTCCATATTAACTTTTTGTTGAAGCCTTTGGATCTTGCCCCAAACTCCTGCAGGAACTTGGCACATATAAAAAAATGTTAAAGTTTATTTCATTTTAATTTTTTAAATGGATTAACATGTTACCAAAGTATTTTAAACAACCAATGCAGAGACACACTTTTTTTACATTCTGTTGACAAAAATATGAAAAAAAAACAATCAAAATCCCTATTCCTTCTATGCATTTTAGGTACTTCAGAAGTCCCTTAACTCAAGTAAATACTACTAGTTATCATTGTTATTCTTCCTGTAGTACTTCTCTAGAACGTAGTTTCTTCAAATAGTTGAGGTTTGCTGATAGGATCAGGTGAATTCATATTTATCCAGAAGCAGGTAACACCACACAATTGTGAAGAATAATTCTGTTCTTAAGGTGTTAAGAGAAACCTTCTGTGGTCACATCTAGCTGGTCCCAGATGATTCATCTTACAGTTATGCCCTTGTCAGGAAGAACTTTTCTGTAGGTTGAAAATTGGTTCGTTACCCCCACAGGGAACAGAGATCTTCAAATTATTATGACTGAACCCTGAAGCCAAGAAYTTCAAGAGACTCTTCTAACTGGGCAGTAGCTCCCAGTGGCTCAAGAGGTTGAGGGAAGAAGATCACAAGTTTGAGCGCCAGTTAGCAATTTAGGGAGACCCTATCTCAAAATTTAAAAAAAAATTAAAAGGGCTGGGGATGTAGCTCAGTATTAAGTGTCCCTAGGTTYAATCCCCAGTACCCATAAATAAATAGGTAGTAAAATAAGAAAAAATTTTTAAAAAGACTTTTCTATTTAAGTTTCAAATATAGATTCAACAAGGCACTTTTAGGATTGTTGTTAATATAGACCAGCTATGTGTATGAGAAATGACATTAGTCCCCTTTTACAGGTGAGGCAACTAAGGCTCACAAAAGTTGAGTAATTTAAGATTATACAGTATGTGGTCCACCCAGGATGTAAATGTAAGTCACCTGTAATCAAGTTCAATTCACCATGGCCCAAATACTTCCATATAGCCATATTGATAGCATTATAGGGATATGAATAGAATTTGCCTTTGTTAGATTCCAACAAAAAGAGAAGACCCAAATATGTGTAAAATGTTGGTATTATTGGGGCCTGGGATTGTGGCTCAGAGGTAGAGCGCTCGCCTAGCATATGTGAGGCACTGGGTTTGATCCTCAGCACCACATAAAAGTAAAATATTGTGTCCACCTATAATTAAAAATATATAAATAGGTTAAATTAATTCTAATATTTTACTTAAAATATAATTTTGAATATGTTTTGTTTTATTGTATTTTACGGTTTTTTTCCCCTAAGGTACTTTATCTTTGTATTATGTACTTTGTTTTTCCACATTTTTATTAGTACATTATAGTTGTACATAATGGTGGAATTTGTTGTTTCATATTCATACATGCACACAATATAACTATAATTTGGCCAATTATCACTCCCCAGCACTTCCCCTCTCCCTCCCACCTCCCACTCCTTGATGCCTCTCCTATACTGATCTTCCTTTGATTTTCATGATTTTTTTGGTCCCCTCTCCTCACCTTCTTTTCCTTTTTCCTCTCTAGCTGTCAAATATGAGAAAAAAACATACAACTCTTGACCTTATGTGTTTGCCTTATTTCACTTACCATAATGTTCTCAAGTTTTATCCATTTTTATGCAAGTGATATAATTTCATTTTTCTTTATGGCTGAATAAAATTTCTTTGTGTATATAGACCACATTTCTCTTATTCATTCATTCATTATGGACACCTGGGTAGGTTCCAGACTTTGACTATTGTGAATTATGCTGCTATAAACATTGGTATGCATGTATCACTATAGTACAATGACTTTAATTCCTTAGGATAAATACCAAGGAGTGGTATAACTGAGTCATATGGTGGTTATAGGATTAGCCCATTTTTAAGAACTCAATAGCTACATGTTTCTCATGGCTACCATTTGGGCAACTTAGAAAATTGGATTTTGATACAATCCTGTAAAGTACAAAAAACAAAACCTTTTCTTTAAAAATGCATTTCTATTCAAATTATTTCTGTATCATTTAAGAAATCTGGTCTTTGTTTTACTAACATTATTATTCCTAGAACATGTAATTGATTCTCAAATATTTGCTGAACTAAAGTGAACTTGGGCCTACAGCCAGGGTTGTTTGGCTGGGTCTCCTCTATTTTATTCAGTATGAGAAAAGTGTTTTCTGAAGTTTAAAAGAAATCGGCAAGATTCTGGCTGCTTGCCATGAGGTCCTGCAACTTTTTGTAAAGGACTAATTGCTCTGACATTTTGTTATTCTAAAGCTGAAAGTAAATCCCAAAGCTTGAGTGTCCAAAAGGAAAGGCTTGATATATTCCCCTCTGGTGTTCTGATTAAAATGTGTACGTTTAATTTCAATTAAAAGTTGAGTACTGAGTAAAGATTCTTAAAGTCACATAGTGTACCATACTGTCAGTCCAAATCCTGGAGATTTCTTTGCAGTTCAAGCAATTGTCTAATACAYGATTATTCTTCTACCCCAGTGGTTCTCGACACTTGGCAGTGTCTGGAGATTTTGGTTTCATGACTGGGAGGAGTTTTATTGGAATTTAATGCATCGCAGGCTAGAGATACTCCTAAACATCTTRTAGGACACAGGCTCACCTCCCACAACAAAGAGTTCTCCACCCCCAAATGTCAGTCATGCCAAGGATGAGAAGAAACCCTTTTCAACTTCCATGGTGAATTCCTTCTCCCCCTCCTTCTTTTCATCTTTTCTGCAATAAAAATAATTAAAATAGTTTAGAACTTCATTGTTCTACTCCCTAGAAGCAATCCCCTTAGCAATTTTTCATTCTTCTAATTGTTGTCTTTATAACTTTAAAGTGGTTGTTAATCCTGTCTGCACATGATTCACTTTAAAGCTCCCAGATCAGTCTTTTTTTTTTTTTAAGAGAGAGAGGAGAGAGAGAAGAGAGAGAGAGAATTTTTTTTTAATATTTATTTTTTTTAGTTATTGGTGGACACAACATCTTTGTTTGTATATGGTGCTGAGGATCGAACCCGGGCCGCACGCATGCCAGGCGAGCTCGCACCGCTTGAGCCACATCCCCAGCCCCCCAGATCATTCTAACATAYAGTCAAGGTGGAAAGCCAGTAGTATGCAGAAATTTATATTTTTACTCATCATCTTAGGTAATTTTTTATTATTGTAAAAGGTGAGGACAATCTGTACTCACTCTTGTTTTCTTTTTTTTTAATTTTTTAAAAAAATTTTTCACTCTTGTTTTCCATCCTTTCCTTCCTCTTGTACCTCCAAACTGTAGCTCTTCCCATTATTTTCACACATTTGAGCCTTATAAAATTTTATCCATCTACATATATATAGACACACAAGTTTTTATATAGGTAGATTCCAAAAATTAAAAACCTCCTAGCACTTCCAATTATATGACTTTGTAAATATAAATCTCTGTTCCCACAGGCCTTGTGTTCATTCTTCTGAGCATCTAGTAATTTCTTTCGGAAAGAGATTCATGACTTTCTTCAGCTCTGGGGAAATTTTTCAATTAATTATTTGACAATTTTTTCCTTTCTATAGTAGTCTTCTCTTTTTTTTTAACCTTTTAGAACTCCTCTTAGGTGAATGTGAAACCTCTGGCATCTTCCCTTCATATCTCTTAACATTTTATTCATATTTTCTTTCTTTATATTTTTATTCTGCATCCTTAGAAATATTAGCTTTGTCTTCTAGCTTACCAACTTGGTCTTCATCCATGCTAATTTTTTAAAATTCTGGGTATCTATTACTTCCTTTTATTTCAATATGGTATTTTTTATTTTCAAAATACATTCTCATTCCTCTTTTTTTTTAACAATGTAATAGCCAGTACCTATTTTATGTAGGCAATGCCTTTTCTTTTCCCAGTGGGGAGGAGGAAGGGAGAAGTGGATAGTAATAATTTAAAATTTTACATTGATTTTTCTTCATGCTATGATGGGTTATCCTGTTCATTCAATTGGCTTTTCTCTTTTATGATGTTGACTTTCCCATCATATCTGGCAATTATTGATTGCCCAATCATATTTGGGAATATAGAACAAGGTTGGTTTATATAAAGTGGGATTATTTTTTCTGCAGTTGAGTAGATCTATTCCACGAATAAATTCTTCCCTTAAAAGGGAGCCCTCTTTTTTTTTCCATCTGTCTCACCATCTTTCATGCTATTTATTTTATTTATTTATTAACTTATTGATCTTCCTGCTCAATGATAAGCTCCCTGAGGACATATATTTTTGTCTTCTCTACTGCTGGAGGGAGCAACACAGTAGAAACCTGACAGATGAGTGAATGAATGAATGAATGAATGAGTGAGTGAGTGCTTTTTTTCAGCAGATAGGTGAATTGGCTGGAAACCTTCTCCTAGTGTGTTATACAACCTGGGAGGCCCCTGTAATTGTTAGTTAAGAGAACTGCATTCTGAGAGAGGTACATTCAGTGCCTTTCATCCTGACATAGCTACCTTGCCACTGCTTCCTATACTGCATCTGGTATGAAGGTCTGGAGATACCTCAGTTTCTGTCTCACTTTTGTTCTTGTATATGTATATACATATATATATATATACACACAAATATACATATATTATATAGTTAGTTAGTTGTAAATACATATATATTTTATAGTTAGTT